TTCCCTAACCTTTTCGATTTTCTAAGATAGAGTCTTGTTAAGTTGCTCAGCTGGGAGTCAAATTTGTACTTATTCTGGCTCAGCTTCCTAGAGTACTGTGATTACAGATATGAGCTACCATGATCAACTAATTCCTATTTGCAATCCCTATTTTCTAGAGCAGCAATTGTTTCTGTATCTTCTTTATTGAACAATTAAGACTTGACACCCTGTATACCAATGTAGATAATATGGGAAGCATCTATAAATAATACCAAAATACACATCTTTTGAAGACATGTATCCTAATAGCATTAAAAGAGTTGTATTTTTCTTGAGACATCCTTAGCTTTCAAACCCAAAGGAATAAGAGAGAAATAGCAGGAAATAAAGAAAACTGCATAGAATGTAACAGATCTGGGCTTACAAATCTTAGAAGTCTTATAATTCAACAAAGTTAATCACTTTTTAAAAATGTCTGCTTCTTTAAGTACAACATGAAAACATCACTACCTATACTGTACTGGGTTATCATAAAGTTAACATTTAATAGCAAGCACAGAGTGTGCAAAGTTCCCAGAATAATACAGTTTCTTCTTTCATGCCACTAGAAGATAATGGACAGTACTCATTAATGAGGCCTTAAAGAAATAATTTCATAGTGCACTGAAACTATAAACTATCAATTGTATGAAACTATTTATAACATTTATGACCAGCCACACCCATAAGCAGAAACCAAAGGCTAGGCTAGGACTTCCCAAAAGAAATTGCTGAAGATCATGTTTGTAGTGACAAAGTGATGTACTTTATTTTAATACAGGGGTGATTCCCAGACCAGAGGTACAGAATAAAATCTGTACACGCCAGCTGGCACTAGATTATAATATACACTGGGGAGTACAACACATCCTTAATCTCAGTTGGCCCAGGAGATTGGGTCCTTGTCCTTCAAAGAGATTGTCTAGGATAGTGGTTAGAAGTATCAGAGAAAGACCTAAGTTCAAAGTGTAGTTCTTTCACTTAGTTGTCAACTGACTTCAGGAAAATTGCTAAACTTCTTTAATCACCATTTTCTTCTTGGATATACTCATGGTAAATTCACTAAAATATCTACTTCATTCAGTTAAATCATTATATGAGATGGTATAGAATTAAATGAAATCCTGTAGGAATCTCATGGCATGCAATAATCTCTAAAGTTGCAATTATAGCTTAATAATTCTGATAATAATAATACATGATATGGGAAAGATTTCTGCCCAGATCACAGTCAAAGTCCTAGAGATTTGAGCCAATGTGAAAAAAAAAATTTCCAACAACTTGGTATGTAGTGGGCCAGCTTCCTGGTGGTTTACCTTTGCTGTCACTTAGATCCTCCATTATTCCTTCAATTTCTAGTCCAACCAGATCCTTGGACAATCAAATCATTATCTCTAGAGGGTGTGAGAGGTGAGGGTCCATTCCAGGTTCCAGTTATACTCTAGGAGGCCCCAGGGATCTAATCAAGATTAGAAAGTTCCCTATGCCCCACTAATAAAAGCAGTGCCAACTAGATAAGGTTTACTTCTGGACATGTTAAGAGCGCCACCTTGGGAAAACAGAAAAATGCTCTGAAAAGTTTCAGGGAACCACACCTAGTCTTGATTCCTAAAGAGGTTTCCACACATTCCATCTGTACTTGGCCTCTTCCACTTCAGCATCTTCCCCAAAATGTTTCTATTTTCTTTATGTATTATTCTTACATGTCTGCCATTGCTTATGTTTAAATTCTCAAATTCTTGATTTTCATTTTTCTTTTTTTACTTCTTGATTTCCAAGTATGCTCTATGTTGTTCTATTTTCACTATGAAAGAAAGTGTATACCTGGGAGTGGCAGTGTACACATGTGATCCTAGTATATGGGAAGCTAAGGAAGAAGGGCCACAAGTTCAAGCTTAACCTGGGCAATTTGGCTATTTAGTGATTCTATCTTAAAAACAAACAGAAAAACTTTGGAGATGTAGCTCAGTGTCAACATCTTGGTTTAAGGCACAGTTTTGTTTTTTTTTTTTTAAGGAATAAAAATAATTAACTTATCATAAAGACACCAGATCTAAAGATCTAAGAGGAAAAATACATGGACATCAGCAATTATTTGTTTTCAGTTCTTTTACACGATGACAGTCTAGCAAAGCTGCTAGTCAAACAAAAGTTAAATCTTGACTTCTAGAAAATAAACTTGATTTATTTAAAATGTGTCTTTAGTGTCACTGACAAAGTATTTCCTCACTACAAGGGCAATAGGATTTGCCAACAAGGTAAAGAGGTTTTCCTAAAATCTAAGTAAAAAAACCAATTGATTGCAATACCCAGGGAGTGAATGAGGAAATGATGCTTTGGATCTGCAATATGCAAGGTCAACATTTAAAAATAGATACTACTTTTAGTTTTACACCAAAGCAAAATTTTAATTAGAACCTCCCTATCAGGATTCATTTAAGTTTAGCCCTGGTAACTATGAAATTTAGCAGACAGAGAAATTAGGCATAATGTTTACACCTCAGGATTCCAGGGAGTCAGCTAACACCATTCTTCCTAACACATGTAGTTCATTATTGCTTAGAAAAATGATCCTAGAAAATATAGAAGACACTATCTTATCATTACAATACAGAAACAGGGATGTAAGCTCAGCATTAACCTCATTTGTATAAAGCACACATTCTTCTGTAGCGTAACACATTAGAAATGATCTAAAAGCATTACAGGGATTTCCCTGCTTAAGACCTTTCTTACTTACCATCCAGTAATTTTTTTGTAAAGATGACGTTTCTTGTATAAGAGAATTTTTATGGGAACCCAGATCAACAGAGTCACTAGAGCCACATAAGCAATAGAGCAGGAAACGATCAGCCAATAACACGTTCCCTCGGACATGTTCCTCGCCCTGTGGTAGGCAGCGGCGAACTGTTCCATGATCACGAGCGTAGGGATGGAGAACGCAGCAAACTCAAGAAGCTCAAAAACCACGAGCTTAATTATCCTTCCAGAAGCCATCCTGCAGAAGTTGAAGCTGCCCAGGATCTAACGCTGTTTCCCTTTGGTTGCGAGCAGCACACAGGCACACAGATACTGAACTAGGTTCAAGTTCCTCATCCTGGAATCACTAACCAGTGACCTTACTCTTTTATTGACCCGCACATGGTTCGATGATCCTTTAACTTAACAACCACAGTCCCTTAAAGAAACAGGGCCGTTGTGCAAGTGGTCACTTCCACAGTGCATTTGCACTTCCGTTGTGGGAGATCAAATGAACTCTAAAGTGTGTCTTAGATAACTGTTTTGAGAAAGAGGCTTTTAAAATGTAGTGTTTCGTGCTGATCTTAGCACAAAGTCCTATGTACAATATTCAGCTTTTGTTAAATAGAACCATTGGCATAATATAATTTGAGAGTCAAATAGGAAGAGGAGATGTAATCCAATCCCCTGTTTTTATGTGTAAGCAAATTCAGGCAAACAGATATTCAAACCTAGAGCCTCCATCTTTGGAAAACTGTCTCTCATTTTTTGTCCTCAAAGTGCTTAACAGAGTTTGAGGCCCCTTTTCATCTCTTGACATCGTGACTTATGCTTACAATATTTATCCATTATTATACATTGGCTGCTGTCTAACACAGACTCACACTTTTTATTTCACTGGCCAGGAAATTGAAATGACAATATTAGAAACCTGTTATCAGAACTAACACATTAAGAGCTACCCATATCTAGTCTTAAAGCAAATCAAATATTTAAAGACAACAATTGTGTCCACAAATCCTTTCTTCAAAAACTGTATTTGTGTACCTGTGGTGCACGTTGTCTTTACTAGGTCTAAAGGCGTGAAGATGTACGAATGGCAGGGGCTCCTGAGAAGGTCCACAGTCCAGTGATGAAAATAAACCCATAAACAACAAAAGGGGACAAAGGTCAAGAGTATAAGCTAAATGCTATAGTAACACATGGAGAATTTCATCTGTGAGCTCAGGCCAGGGAAAGCAAAGATAAGAACAATCAAGATGCACTGGGACGTTGATGACATTTCTGATTTAAAAAAATATTCAGGTAGATTTCAGTAATTAACAAGAATCTGACAGGGCTTACAGAGGAAATAGGAAAAGTGATGTTAGAGAACTCCATGGAGGATATACTTCTTCATATCCCATAAAGGACTTGGGGAGGGGAGATAGCAGGCAGTGAAAAAGCAATCATTTGATCATTTGAAAAGGAAAATCAGTGGTGTGCATAAGAGACAGGTGTGGTGCTATCAGGAGGACCAGCTTTGTGTCTATTTGATGCTTCCTGTGGGTGGATCAGGAAGTGATCCCTATGGGAGCTGACCCAAAACCACAGGTAAAAACTGAGTGGGCCAGGCAGGTTAGAGCTGTGAATGAAGGGCTCTACCCTGCACTGCCCACCCTCCTTTTCCAGCCACATATCCCTAGAATAAAAGTACATCAAATATTTAAAAGGCAGTAATTGCGCTTGGGCCATGGAATGTATAGCTATCAACATAAGGTTTGGGATCAAGCCAGACCTCATACTCTAAAATTCAGCTAAGAAGGGCCAGGGAAATAGCTCAGTGGACTAAGCACCTGCTTTGGCAAGTGCAGAGTCCAGGGTTCAATCCCCTGTCCCGCGTGCCACACCAGCCCCATCCCTGGTATATGCCAAGCCAGCAACTGAGTCTGGGTGTGGTGGCCCATGCCTGTAATCCCAGCATTGAGGAGGCTGAAAACAGGAGGATCACTATAAGCCTGAGCTGCATAGTGAGACTCTGCACCAAATATATAAATAAAAAAAAAAACAAAAAAAGAAATTGAGCTAAGAAACAGTAATTACAGTGAAAGGAGGCCATGATTTGGAGTTAAGAGTTAGAACAAGCCAAACTGCATGTGCTACAACCACCCCTGGCATGGTATGAACAATCACTAACTACATGATGAATGAGTAAATGAACATGTGAATGAATGAGTGAATGAATGAATGAATGAATGAATGCCAAACAGCAAATGAACATAAGAGTGCACAGAGTAATGATGCTGAGCTGGAGAATGACAAGTTGAAAGAGACTGACCGGGAGAAGCAAGCATCCCATGGAAGGCCAGTTCCCAAGGGTCCTCACTGAATTTTCCAGTTTGTATGTGTCCTTAAAAAAGGACTATTGTTCTTTGTAACCAAAAGAGCTTCAGTAACAAACAAATACACAAAACACAGGCCATATATTTGGAGACAGCATGTAAATATCCTAGATGATTCAGAGAAAAACAGTGGATTTCTAAAAATCAAAGTGAATGACTCAGAAGGCTGGCCAGATAGCTCAGCGGACTAAAGTGCCTGCTTAGGCAGATGAAGGGGCTAGGGGTTCGATACCCGGGGCCTGCCATGCTGGCCCCACCCCCCAAGATGCATTGAGATGGCATTAAGACTGGGCATGGGGGCGCATGCCTGTAATTCCAGCACTTGAGAGGCTAAAAAGCAGGAGGATCACTAGGAGTCCAATCTGTTTAGTGAGACCCTGTAGATCCTGTACTAAATACATAAAAAAAAAAAAAAAAGTGAATGAATCAGAGAAGGCTCCTCAGAGGAAGTAACTTTCAACCTGTGCTCATCTTTCTGTTAACTCAAAGCAATATCTATATATTACTGCGACAATCATCTGTGTATGACTATGACCTTTCCTTTGAAAAACATGTGTAAGAATATTCATGAGAGATAGATGATAGATAGATGATTTATATTGGTGTGGAGAGGGGGAGAGACCAATATAGATGCTTTATACAACACTAAGAATGACATAATGCCATTCTGTTTTAAAATATTATAGCTGCAGATTTATATGTAAATTTGCAAATCCAGAAAATGACTCATCAAACTGTTAATAGGGCTGTCCCTGGGGTCAGAAGGTGGAGTGAAGGAGAGTTTTAGCTATTGCTAACACTGCCAAAAGGAAAAAAAGTAAAAGGATAGAAACAAAAACAAATATACAAATAAACATTGTAATAGTTTTGAATATTTAACAGGCATAAAAATTAGAAAAGACTTTTAGACTAAGAAAATTCAACTTAAATAGTAACTGCGACTCAAGAAATTTTAGGCTCTATTTTTTAAAATCTTTCCTCCACCAGTTTACTTTCCCTTGCTTTCTGTAAGCAGGGCCACATAAACAAATTTCACTTCCACATAGCTTTTTAGTGGCAGAACAAAAGAGCAGCAAAATAGCCAAGTAGTAAGCAGAACCCAGGCACGGGTTGGATGATTTCCTGGCCGGACATTTCCTCCCCTGCACTCTCCTCCCTTCCACTCCTATTTCTTTTTATAATGGGAATTTGAACTCAACCATTTTAAGCACCATATCTAGCACACAAGGGGGCCTTACTGCATGCTCATGGAAGGAAGGAATGAAGAAGCCACGTGAAAGTGAGGGGTGTGCAGAGCTTTAGGAACAGCTAACTGCCCTTTGCTCCATGGAATACCATCTCTCCCACTGACATTTCAGGGGAACCCGTGTCTACATGTCTCAATATAATCGATTCCCTCAGCCCCTTGATTTCTTCCCTTGGTCTCCTTGCCCTTGTGGGCCTGCATCCCAATTATAGCCACCATGTCTCCTTCTGCCCCAGCAATAGCTCCTTTTGGTACCAAAGTAAGAGAGAAAAGATAAAGCCCCTGTGGACTGCAGAACTGACTGGTCTCATTATGCATACTGAGAAAAGACTACAGTCTTTCTAAGTATTTGCAAAGACAGCACAGGTGTCAACATTACACTATCTTTCCCAAGCAGTGCCAATCTGGGTACCCTCAAAACTCCATATATCCCATGACGAGTTTGAGCCATTAAAAAGCAGGCTGGAGAGTACTGCGTGCTATTTGTCTAGTCCAAGGCATTGCCTTCAATGATTTTAATCTTCAGCTCTTTCAAAGTGTCATTTGACTGAATTAGACCTTAGAGTCTGGGAGAACAACTAGCTAGCTTGGCAAAGAGAAAGAATGCCATTATGCCAAGATTAAGCTACTAGAAGGAAAGGAATGCCAGAGCCTGAGTTGGAGACAATGACAAAGGGAAATTTAAAAAGGGTTGAAAGTCCCTACCCTTGAGCTGGGACCAGTTTACTCCAGTCCTGATTCCTTCCCTTCTATGTCCCCTGACAAATTTGCCACACAGTCACACTGCCAATAACTGGAAGAACACAAAGGGGGACATTTGCAAACCAACCAAATTCTTTACTTGGGTTAGTCCAATACTTATTCAAAGAACCTGGAGCTTTAGCATGCACTTCAATGCTGGGTTTAGGAACTGCCTGGTACAGAAAACAAAGCAAAACGAAACAAAACACCAGATTTGATTTTCTGAAGCTCAATGCTCAGTGGAAAGACTGAGTCTTGTGGTTAGAATTCACTTCCATGTAGGAGTGTTGATGCAGTGATTTTTATTTTAGTAAGCAGAAGATATTCTGTCCAGGGGAACACCTGTTCTCCATGCTTCCAACTGTCATTTCCTTCCTGCAGGCAGGAAGTCAAAAACTGAAAGTCTCTATAGAATTGTTTGTAAAATCACTTGTAATCTCAAGGTTTGTTCATTGTTTTTTCAGAATAGGATCTGAAAAAAAAAAATGTACAAACTGCCAAGAATGTTCTGGTGTATCTGCATTGGTTTCCTGTGGGCCTGTGACGTTGATGTGCAAAAAGGCTGGAGCTGGTGGTAGTGAAACTGCTCCCAGGATAAAGCCAGACCCAGAGAGAGCCTAGGGAGGAGCTGAGAGCACATCCTGAAGCCTGTTTTATTTACTGATATTTAGAATTTCCAGAGTTGCTGACCCTCACAAGCAGGTGTTACCAAACTTGCCAGAAGAGAGCCCCGCAAAATTATGCTATCTGCTATGCACCTCCTTTATCAATGTTATGCTATTTTAGTGTGGACTATATTGACTTTAAAGAATAGGATATTGTATAATTTCATTGTCCATCTATTGAATAATTTAAACAATTTTTTGGAGCAAAGACATCATATATCTGTACCCCTCTCATAACTCGTGACTCTTAAGATGAACAAAACATAGACAATGTTCTCAATTTTAAAAAAAGT